GCCGTGGCCGCAGTGAGACGGGAACCGCCGTGCCCAAAAGGCGGTCACTTGTCTGTGCAAAGCCTTTCCTTGAGAGGCTGGGCACCAAAGTCCCTCGTCTGTAAGCGAAGTTCTGGGGCGGGAAGGGCCGTTTATAACTTTTCGATGAGAGAGATGGAGTATGTCAGCCAAGAAGATAGCCGGTGCGGTGTAGTTCTTAGTTGCTTTCCAGAGAGAACCTCATCTGTTGCTGAGAGAACATCACCATCTCGTTGAAGAGTGCAGCAGTATTTGTATTAATGAAAGATTGCAGTTAATTATGTGAGATCTACACGATCGCTGTTTTTTCCCTAACGTACTTTCAGATTGTCCCCAAAATCACCCCAGCTACCGTCAAAGGTTTGAGCTGAGATTTTTTCAAAGTAGCTGAAGACTGAGTAGTTAAATCCAAAGAAGCGAAATGTCTGTTTGAATCTCTGACTGTTCTTTATCAAAGTCTGGCGTTTTCTAAGAACTTTAAATGCGGGTTGTTATTTTTCTTTTTCTGTGAAAAATTAACATTAACATGTTCTTTTTCTGTCTTGGATTTCCTAGCAAAGATGCTGAGCTTTTTCCGTCGAACCCTTGGACGGCGGTCTATGCGTAAGCATGTGGAGAAGGAACGGCTAAGAGAGGCCCAAAGAGCTGCAACCCACATCCCTGCAGCTGGGGATGCAAAATCCATCATTACTTGCCGAGTAGCACTGCTGGATGGAACGGATGTCAGCGTGGACTTACCGGTATGAGTGATGCAAGTTTGTTTTTTAAATGCCGTTGGCTTGTGTCAATCTGATTGTGCTCTTTGCTGTTTAAAAGTTAGGTAAAGGCATATCTGTTTATCATAGCAACTGACCCTGTGACTTGATGTCCACTAAGTTACTGGTCATAAAAAGGTACTGAAAAAATAGTTAACTTTGTTGTTAACTGAAACTAGAGAGTGTTTTGTGAGATGTCGTTGTGCCTTACACATTGAATGCTTTCTAGTATGTTAATGTAACTGTTGTGCTGAGGTTTAACTTAGAGAGGGTAATGTTTCGGATGAATTGGATTTTCTTTTCAGTGAGCTGTGTGTGCATCTTGAGAAGGAAGGTAAATCTCTTCGTGTAACTGTTGAAGAGGAGGGATGAGCAGAAGTGCTAGCAGTAGTTGCTGTGTGGGTTTTGTTTGTTTTGATTTTGTGTCAGAGATGGGTGCAGTTTTTAACGCTAACTTGAGAGGAGAGGGGAAGAGAAGAATTCTACTTCCTTCTCCTCAGGGCAGATTATATAGCAGGGAATGTCTCATAGCGTAGTGCTTTATTGGGAGTGAGGTGTTAGCCACTGTTTTACATTTCTAAAGCTCCCTTAATCTACACGTGTCTGTTCTGCTCTGTTTAATTATGTACCTGTTTTTGTCCAACAGATGAACTTTAGCAATAGAAGTGATGTGCTCAGTTTTTCCATTACCATGTGTTATAGTTGTTAGTGACTTGTTTTGAGCTCGCATAGCCGAGGTAGGGCCTGTGGGTTTGCAAGACCTTCTGACTAGTTCCAGGGTATTTTGGCTGCAATAACAGTTGTGCTGATGTCGGAGCTGCTGGCTAGAAAGCGTGTGCAGAGCAGCCATTCTTGAGATGGCTTTTCTTTCCTCCCTTTCTTATTTTAAGCACGATTCTAGAGTGTTTTTAATATTAGGTAGTCTGAGGAAGGCTCAGCGTGTTAAGAGTATTGAGTGGCGTTATTGATGTACCAAGCAGAAGTAACTTCTGTGATATTCAGAACCCCAAGTAATCTAGCATTAAAGAAACAGTTTGGAATCTCTATCTGCTAAATGACTACATAGGTAGGTGTTTATAGAGGGCAGTAAAACCGATTTGTACATCTCTGAAACAATGTAATGAGCATATCCAGTGCCTAGGATGTTTGATTTGAGGCACCAGGAATTCCCCCAAACCCTTTATAGCAAGAGTTGCACTTAAAAAGTACTCAAGTTTAAATTGGTGTCTCCACGTAACCAGAGCAGTTATCTTTGGAGCTGGAGTTGGCTCTGTAGGCAAATTCCTGGTGCCTCTAACAACATTTCTAAGGCTTTGAGGAGCATAAATTGAACCTGAAGAGGTGTCGTGACCTGCCATCTGGACTATGAAATGTAGATCAGGGTGCAGTAGTAACTGTTTCTGCAGGAAACCTTTTCACTCTTGCTTTTTTTTCTTTATAAGCTAATATAAAGCCTTGTCGTTGGACATCTAAGTTATGAGTAACAGTAAACAAATATGCTAAATCAACATAGCTAGATGCCGTTATTACAGTGCATCCTCAGTGGCTGAAGTTTACTAGTTCCTTTGGTGATTAAAATTCAATAAATTAAAAGTAGAGTAAATGTTTAATTTCACACTCCTTAATGTGTTTGTTTTTGTGTCTCCACTTGCATCGCTCATATTTTGGGATTGACTCTTGAAGAGGAAAAAAGAAAGCAGGGGAGAGACATGGGATGAAGTGCAGTGTACAAAATCCTGGCAAAACAACATTGCTTTCTAAAATCTAAAGCTAAATTAAAAATACATTTGTGTATGTATACACAATATATTTTTTTCTTTTACAAGAACTTTACCTGAGAATCATGGTGCTCTTTGAGCTAACACATTTTCCAAGACTGGTTCTGTTACTTTGTTGGCAGTAGATTTGGTTTAAAATGGACTCTTATCTCAAAGAGGTGCCCTCGGGTCTGCCAGTTCAGTTGCACGTAGTCCCGTTGCCTACTTAAGTTCTGTGAAAATGTTTTATTAAAAAAAATAAATAACAGGTAGTGTTTCTTAAGACCAAATCACTTAAACAGGTTAGTTGACAGCCAGAGAAAGTGTTACCTTGGCAAGAAAGAATGCTCTGCCTTTTGTAAGCCATGGCTACATAAATACTTCACAGTGGCATAAGTTGTTGCTGCCACAGGAAGAAGAGATGTTGCTTTCATTATTGCGTTTGTCCTTGTTTTCACATACCCCTTGGCAGAAGAAACATTTTTTTGGCAGCCAGGCAGTAAGCTAAGTCAAGGAAATGCTGTGGCTGAAAATAATCAGTGTAATTTTGTTATGTTAGTTTCCAGCTGGAGTGATTCTCCAATCTAATTCCCCATGTGCCTCTCCAAATGTGGTGAAGAAGCTTTTAGAGGTGGTATTGTGCTTGCTTAAAATGCTTCTTGAGCTATACCCTTACGGTGAATTTGCTACTGAAAGAAGAGTGTTCTGGAGGTGCAATCATTCATATAATTGAATCTGAGATTGCTGAATTTGTTTAAATTATTTAAAAAAAGGAGGGGGGGAACCAACCACAAACCAAACATGTTTCAGAGTCTTTTTAAGCAGCAAAGACCATTTTTACGAATATTGACAAGAAGACAAAAGGGGCATGTTGTAAAAGATGCAGTTGAGATTTAATTTATTAAACACAGAGCCAGGATTTGAGCAGTAACTCTGCTTTTTGTCCACTGATCTTATCTATGGTGTCTGTCAAGCCACTTAATCTGTCTGCTTTTGTATTTCTTCTGTTGTTTTTAATTACAAAATTGCCTGACTTGAACTGTTCATCAAAGCTACAGTCCTACACAGTACATAGACTGGATTGTTTTTAAGAATCTACTTATTTCATAGCCATGTCAATGACTGAAGAATATCAGTGTCATGTCTGCTATTTACTGTCATTTTGGTATGTTCGAAATGGGAGGCATGAATTTCATGTGAATTATCGGTGTTCTTTTGGGGCAGATGGAAAGATGTGGGGTTTTCTTCCCTACCTTTATTTCAAATTCTGAAGTTGTGTTTCAGCCTGGTAGTTTTCCTCGTCTGTTACCACTTCTTTGAAGCTTTATGTTTGTCCAAATGCATTCAGTGATTTTGACAGACTTATGTGCTTAGTGGAACATTAAGCAGCTTATTATTTTTTTATCTATGAAGTTTTTATGAAATATATGGTGTCAGTTAACGGTGTTGATGTTGTTTGTCATACATGCTGTTTTACTGTTAACTTACCTCGAGTTCAACTTGGACAAAACTCAGTTGTGCTTTTTCTTCTAATTGTTTAAGATATGTGGGTTGAATGTTTGCTTAGTGGTATGAGCGGTAAAGAGGACAAGAGCTCTGTTTTGCTGACATCCCCTATCTTACTTTTAATCCTGTTCCCATGTGAAACTAAGCTCCATTTTCCCCCACTGCACCTCTGGAATTCTCAAAAGCCATGAACAGCCCTGGTTTAGTACCTGAAGGCCCCATCGGCTCACTCATACCAATCTGGGCTCCCAAGGGAACCCCTCAACAGCTGGAATACTGGCTTTTCTGGTGGTCATGGTTTGTGGGGAAAGACAGGTTGGGGAGGGGGAGGGCATCATAGCAGTGTTTTTTCCTTGAGAGCTACTTTTAATTGGAGTCAGCAACAGCTTATGAAACATTTGTGAATAAAAACGTTTGTCAAGAATCTTTTTAAAAGTGCTATTTTGAGTACTGGAAGGCTCCAGAGGATTTTTAGATTAAAAGATCTAAAAATTGAACATTTGTTGTAGAGATAGTTGGTTCTACACTATTCAGAGTAATAATTGGGAGAGGGGAAAAGATAACCTGGATAAAGGGGAAAAATGGTAAGATACATAATGTAAATTAAGTTACAGGAATACACTTGGAATATGCACCTTGTTAAAAATTTGTGGATAGCTTTCTGGGGGGGAACAAGGTCAGCCTTACAATAGCAACAGATAGTGAGTATGGGGTCTTATAGAAGCACCACTGCACTTTGTGGAAGCCAAGGGTGTTCTGGTAAAAAAGCTGACCCTGCTTAACCCACAATTTACATAAACTTTTCGTGGATAATAGAGTGTTAATTCCATTCCAGTTTCTGTATGTGCAACCTAAGTTTTAGGCAAAAGCTTCCTAGTGGTATAAGGTGAAAGATACAAAATCCAAGAATGGATGCTCTCTGAGTAGTTTTTCATCTTAGAATATTCCTTACTTATGCATGCATAAAATTTAATATGGTGATTGCAAAATCAGATGTTTTTGTCCTTATTATAATGAAGTATCATTAAAACAAGGTCTTATATAAACCAGTCCAAGAGCTCTGTGGAATAGCAGGAATTAGCTAATCTGTTTACAGATTTGGAGTAATACTTACAAAATAAGATAAAAAGGACTGTAGTGGTTATTTTAAATAAAACTAAGAAATCTATCTGGAATGCCAAAAAAATTGCCAGCAAACTGTTAACGAGTGCTGATGGCTTTTTGTGTGGAGGGAGATGATCTGTGTTGATCCGACTACAAGATCAGATATGTATTGTTATAGTTGTTTTTATTCAGTAATCCGCTCTCTTTTTTTATAAGCTTGTAGAATAATCATGGCTACTTGCTGAATATTTCTAGCTGTAAATATGAAATACTGTCTGAGACATACTGATTAAAAAAAATCTAGTAATGCTAAAAATGTTGGAAAGTCAATCTTTGAATAAAGTGAATAATCTTAGTGTGTTCAAGGCTGGCTTTTAAATTTTCAAAATAAAGCTCGGCTGATAAAAGTAATGAGGAAGTAAACATTTGCTTGTGTGTGTTAAGACTAAAGTTTTGGATTAAAACTTTTCCCATGTGGTCTTTGTCTTAAACTATTGAAATGCTTTTGACTATTTGCTTAAACTACTGAAAGACCTTTAGGGGACTGAAACTGGAAAACTCAATCCTGAGCTGAGTGTTACCAAAGCAGAGGTGCTGTCTGTGCGGTGGAAGGGCCCA